CAAAAGAATGGTAAAATACTAGCTAATATTAAAGGAACAAATGGAAGAGAATAAAAGTTAAAAGTTATCCCCCCACAAAATACAAAAAAAATCCCTGCATAGGACACCATTACATTATTGAGTTCTTTTTTTCCCATTGTGGCTTATATCTATTCATTTTTTGTAATATTAGAAGTTGAAACAGAAAAGTTTTAAAGATATTTTTGGTTCTGAAGGACCCTTGAAAGCATCTCAGGAGCCCTAAAAGACCTAAAACACATTTTGAGAACTCCTGGCTTTCAGTTATTTCTGCTTTTATGAGGGTGGGCTAATTGTTAAAATATAAACTCAAAAATAACTACACTGGGCATGAAAGCAGGGGTGGCCTGTCAGACAAACAGTGCTGCAAGCGATGAGCTAAAAATGAATAAATAGGGCTACGTATAGATGACCCCTTGAAAAGTTGATTGGTTTTGTTAGAGCAAGGGTCTTCAAACTTGGCAAGTTTAAGATTCATGGACTTCAACTCCCAGAATTCCTGAGCTAACATGACTGGAAGAGGAATTCTGAAGGAGTTGACGTCCACAAGTCTTCAAGCTGTCAAGTTTGAAGACTCCTACGTTAGAAGTTCAGAGCAGAGGTTCTCAGCTGCCTGATGATGTGTGGACTTCAACTCCTAGAATTCCCCAGCCAACCAAAGCTTGGAGGGAATTCTGGGGGGGTTGAAGTCCACACATCTTCCAAGTGGCCAAGACTGAGGAGCATTAAGATCAGGCTTGCCATGAGAACTTCTCAAGAAGATTCCTCCTTCTCCTCCTGGACCGAAGGCTTCTCACAGGAGCCCCGTCAGAATGCAGCCTCTGATTTCAGACTCCATCAAGGTCCAGTCCAGCAGTGGCTTTGGGGTCCTAGAAGTCTGGAAGCTGTTTAAGTCTACTGCAGGCAGGACCTTATCCCAGAAGTAGACCTCAGCTATTTCTCCCACTAAGGACTGCTTCACGTCTAATCTGCCCCCGTAGGAATCTTGGTCCTGACCCAAGATCCGCCTTGACCTCTTACCCTACACTGCCCCTTTCCTCAGCAAGCTCTTCCCATCCAGCCAGAGCTGGACCATTCTGGTAGCCGAATCCCAAGTGGTGCACACCGATTCCCAGTAGAAGGCAGACCTTCCCAGAAATATGGGAAGTGGGAAAACGGCGCACTCACCACCCGCACGTATTTTGAAACTGTTGGGGTTTTGCCAGAGGAGAATCTCGTGGTCATGGTCTTGGGAAGCAGCTGAGAAGAGGGAGAAGTTGCGGGTCAAGTCAGTGAAGAAGCGGAGACGAAGGGTCAACTGTCGAAAGCAGTTGATCTAGGTTGGTCTTCAGGAGAACGTGGGAATTAGCAGAAAGCTTGGAGAACACGGAAGCCTTTCCATCCAAACCTGAGGAAGAAAGAGAGAAACCCACGAAAGGGTGGATTTTCAAGCCCACAGAGCAGAGGTGGAATTCAGCAGATTCTGACCAGTTCTGGAAAACCGATAGTGGAAATTTTGAGTAGTTTGGAGAACCAGCAAATACCACCTCTGACTGGAGATTTTACAGGATCTTTCCCTTGCCACACCCACCAAGCTACGCCCACAGGTAGTAAAAAGAACGGATTCCCCACCACTGCCACAGAGGTATTCAAACACAACGTTCATGAATCCATGGTTGATTCAAGGTGGATTCATAGGAGGTGGAAGTTCTACCGTGGAATGAAGACTTGCCTGGAACACTGAATATCAGAAGGACTGTACAAAGCCACAGGCGGTCCTTCTCCATGTTGTCACCCGCCCTAGCCACCAGTTTCTGAAGTCAGCCGCTGGAAGGGCCACCAGAGACGTTCTTTCTCTAAACTTGGCTGTCCGGAGTTAGAGAGGTGTAAAATGTGCCTCCTGCATTTGAACAGAGTCCTCAAAACACCCTTCCAGGGTCTGTTTGCAAAGATACCAGAGAAGCACGAAAGAAGGGAGACAGATGGAGAACTGTAAGATATTATGGTCTGGCACGCGAGATAATGTCATGGCAGATTCAGATTTGTGTAGAGGCGCGTTTTCAGCCAGCCTCAAAATGAACACACTGGCAGGATCTTCTCCAACATTTCAAGAAAACCCAATTTCATTCACTTTTAACATAAATCTAAAATTTAATTACACTCATCTTTATAACTAAGATGAAAATGACTGCTTGCTATTTATTAATTTTATATGCCACCCACTTGGCAATTCGAGGCAACACTATATATCAGACTGTCTCACTAATGGCCACAATTTGGACTGGCAATTTATTAAGCAAAGTGATAACCAAGGGAAACTGTGACGATGCTTATGATCTGACTTTGGGTTTTATTCGCATTACAGGCCTGAGAAGGTTCTCAAGTGCAAAGATTAGTGGCAAAGATATTTTTCTTTTACTACTGTCAGAACTTTGAATGGTCACTAAATGAGACAGTCATTAAATAAGATTTGTACTTTTACAATAGCTTTACAAACTTCACAATAAGGTAGAATTACTATAGCTCACCTGGTTGTGTTTCCTCTGGTCTACCTAGCAGGGCTGACTTGCAGCTGAACTTTTTTACAATGCGATTGTGAGTGAGAGAGAGAGCTTTCGTATACAAACTTTGGGGTGGTGTAGTTGAGGAGCCCATCGATTTTCCTTTTACGGGTGATTTGTGTGTGTTTTGCATTTTTTGGGGACAATACAATTTTTGTTAAAATATTTTCTTTTTAAAGTGTAAGCTGGCTACAACTATTTACAACTGGGTGACCTCTAAATTTCAAACAATTACATGTAGTTCTTGACTTATGACTATAATTGAGCCCAGAAGCAAGCAAATGTTGTGGTTGTTTTACCCAGGGATGGTTTATATGCCAGACCATGGGAATGCTGCAATGGTCAAAAGGTCATAAATCATTTTCTTCGGTGCTGCTGAATGGTCACTAAATGAACTGTTGTAAGTCAAGGACAAACTGTATAGCAGCGGGAAGATTACAACCTGCTTTGAAATGCTCCCCGGTAATTTTTTTCCTCCTCCAGGGGCCTATTTCGTGGTGTCAAGAGACTCCTTCTAATAACGTATCATTTTCAATATTTACATCGATGCGAGCCAAATAATAACACAACAAGAAAAAACATAAATACGGCCCTGTTTCTTGCAGAAGGTCTCGTAGGACAGGTTGCCGCCTTTTCCAAGGTAGTTATCGGTTTGTTCCTTTATTGCTTTTGCTCAGAAGATGCAGTCGCATAAAATAGGTCTGAATCCGCAGCCAACCAATACTAAAAGTATAGATATAATTTCTTACAGAATTTTTCAGTGGACAGAAAAGAATTAAGATTGATTCATTTAGCATCGCATTAGAAAAAAATGTTAAAGGAGCAATTTTCTGTCTTTTTTTTTAAACCAAAATAGTAAACTCTCTGTCTCTTTTCACCTCTGGGTTATAAGCTACAACACCCCCCAACATCTCCACACACAATTCAAAACGTTTCCTATGAATTGAAAGACAAAGAGTCACAAGGATTAAAGATCTTTCTTGAAAAAAAAGATTCCATATTGTAACAGAAAACTGACCACACACCCAAGGTCAGTAAAATGCACCAAGTTTTGTACAGGTGGTCCTCAACTTATGACCACAATTGAGCTCAAAATTTCTGTTGTTAAGTGAGACATTTGTTAAGTGCATTTTGCCCCATTTTGCAACTTTTCTTACCATATTTGTTAAGTGAATCACTGCAGTTGTTCAACTAGTAACAGGGATGTTAAGTGAATCTGGCTTCCCCCATTGATTTTGCTTGTCACAAAAACTGATCACATGACCTCAGGACACTGCAACCGTCATAAATGCAAGTTGCCAAGCTCTGAATTTTGATCCTGGGGCAACGGTTGTTACTGTGAAAAACGGTCATAAGTCACTTTTTTTCAGTGCCATTGTAACTTTGAATGGTCATTAAACGAACTGTTGTAAGTAGAGGGCCACCTGTAATTCCAGCTAAGGATAAAAAATTGAAAGCCCCCTCAAGAGAATTTCATCATAATTTCCTAATAATGCTGACATATTTTTTCTTACTGCATTGAAGGGAAAGAAAAGGAAGGTGGGTATATAACGAGGAATCTTATGATTATATTATTTTGTTGTTTGTAGGTACACTGAGAGCTTATGCACCAGAGACAAATTTCTTTTATGTCCAGTCACGTTTGACTAATAAAAAGCTATTCTATTCTATTCTTTATTCCATTTCATTCCATTCTGTTCTGGTTTAACCTATTTGCATTAAAAAAAGCTCATCAGGTATGCATCTTTGCAAAGAAGTCCTTCAAAATTGCAAGCCATCCCTTTTCCCCTGCTAACATTTCCTGTTATATACTCGAAGAGGGTTTTGTTCCTTACCGTGTTTATGCTTAAAATTCCTTTCAAATTAAACATCTTCACGTTTTGGGGTCTCAGGGCCCCTTTATGTTCTTAAACATGGCTGAGGAGCCATACAAGGTTTCCTTGGTGTGGGTTATTGATATTCGCCATATTAGAAATTGAAAGAGAGATGTTTGGATATTTATTTGATTTGGACTCCCTGAAAGGCCCCTCGAGACCCCCCAGCGGAAGGGAGATGGGTCGGTTATGAAAATCCAAATTTTTTTAAAAAATAGCACTGGGTGTGAAAGCAAGCATGGCCAATCGCATACCCTGTGGGGCAAGCAGGGGCCTAGAATCAATGGGGCTACTTTGGAGCTTAGAAAACTGCTTGGTTGGTTAACAGGTTCAAAGCAAGGTTTCTCAGCCTTAGGCACCTGAAGGTGTGTGAACTTCAACTCCCAGAATTACCCAACACGCCTTAAGATGAACAGACTTCAGTCCCCAGGATTCTCCCCAGCCAATCATGCTTGGAGGAGATTCTGGGAGTTGAAGTCCAAACATCTCCAAGTGGCCAACGTGGAGATCAGGCCTGCAGAGAGAACTTCTCAAGGAAGTCTCTCTTCCTGCTCTTTGACTGATGGCTTCACAAGGGCTCCATCAACACGTAGCCTTGGATTTCAAACTTCAGCGAGGTCCAGGCCACTAAAGGGGCCGGCGTGGTATGTTGCTGGATGTTGCGTATCTGTTCGGCAGGCAGGACGTTGTCCCAAAGGTAGACCTCAGCGATTTCCCCCACAAAGCACTGATCCGCATCAAAGGTGCCCCCATAGGAATCTTGTTCCTGCCCCAGCATGACCACCAGATCCACCTTGACCTCGTAGCCCTTCGCTACTCCTTTCCTTGGTAGGCGCTGACCATTCAACCAAAGCTGAAGTATCCCGGTAGCTGAATCCCAAGTCATACAAATCGATTCCCAACTGACGGTAGACCGAGCCGTGAGTTTGGGCATTGTGAAAACGGCGCACTCCCCTCCCACACAAGTGTGGTATTCTTCAGGGTGTCGTATCAGGAGAATCTCGTTGTCGTGATCCTGGGAAGCAGCCGAGAAGAGGACAAAGCTGCGGGTCAAATCGGTGAAAAATTCGAGGGAGAGGGTGAAGTGTCGCAGCCCTTGTTGTAAGTTGGGCTTCAGGAGAACGTAGGAGTTGGTAGAAGCCTTGGGGAAGACGAAGACCTTTCCTTGCAAAACTAAGGAAAAACGGGGAGAAGACCATCAAAAGGTGGACTTACCGCCCACGGAGCTATTCAAACACACCTTGCATGAACCTGCGGTGGATTCAAGGTAGATTCACGGAAGGTGGAAGGTCCTGCTACGGAATGAAAATTTCCCAAGGGATCCCCATTTTTCACACATAGCTTACTCTTCTCAGTCAAGATCCCAGAGATGCAGAAGGTCACGAGAAGGGCTGTAAAAAACCATGGGGGCTTCTTCTCCATGATGTCACCCAACGTTGCCCCCTGTTCCTGAAGTCTGCTACTTGGAGATCCACTAGGAAGATCCTGTCAGTCCCTAGCTTGGCTGCCTTGGTGGAGTTAGAGAGACGTTCTCAACGGTGTAGAAGGTTCCTCTTGCTTTTGAACGGAGCCCTCAAAACACCCTCCGAAATACTTCCAAAAATGGCAAGGAAGTGCCACGGGAGAAGACAGATGGCGAGGCAGCTGTGAGATACACAGCCTACAGTGTGATCATATAATGCCATAGCCGCTGCGTTTTTTGGCATAGTTCGCAACCAGCCTTACAATGAGGCAGTAAAACCTGCAATGACCTGGTATAAAACTTTCCCTCTCCAACAATCCCCACCCAATACATTTTATTTATTTATTTGTATCCCATATTTACTATTTTTACAAATAGTTCAAGGTGGCAAACATATCCAATACATCTTTCTCCACTTATTTCCCCCATCACCACCACCACCTAGGGTGGGTTGGGTTGAGAGAAAGGGACTGGCCCAAAGTCACTCAGGTGACCTATACGGCTAAGGTGGGATTTGAACTGATGGGACTCCTGCTTTCTAGCTCAGTGTTTTAACCCAGGGGTCCGCAACCACCGGGCCCCGGACCGGGACCGGTCTGTGGATCATTTTGTATCAGGCCGCCTATTTTGCTTGGGCACTGCCATCTTGTTTCGACGGCGCTTGAAAAAGGGTGAGCTTGTCATTGGTTGGAAAGCGGCGTTTGGGTGCTGAAGGAATCCTTGCACCTTAGTTTTGTCGAAGTGGGGGGGGCAGCTTCGAACGAAGAGCCGTCCCGATGGCGGTGGAGTCTCGCGTTACTCAGGAGATTAAGAAAGAACCCAAAAAGTCCATCGACCGCGAGAAGGTACAAAGGAGGAGTTGAAGGTGGCAGGGAGAAGCGGGGGACGGCTGGATGGCCGGTCACTCGGCTCGCCTTGCCTTGGTCGTGCGTGCTGATGCCGGTACCGGTCCGCGGATCATTTTGTACCGGCCCGTGGTACAAAAAAGGTTGGGGACCACTGTTTTAACCACTACACCAAACTGCCTCTCGTTCATTCATCTCAGAACGAAATTTCTACTTTATTCCCACGTTCTAGCCTTGCCATCATAAGCCACCCAAGGTGACCTTTGGAGCTGAAACCTCAAATTAACAGAAATAAAATTGCAGCAAAGAAAAACAATAGGTAATTAAAAAAACCCACCTCAGCTAGGATTTAAAAAGGGCAAGCGGCCAGGCGGAGATGGCCTGAAGCTCTGATTTTTTTTGCCATTTTAGAGAATTGCATCTTTCCTTTTTTTTTGACTAGAATTCGTGCCCAGATCCTTCTCCTTTTCACCCTCTTGCTGTGGAGAATGAAATCAGCAGCAGGTATTGGGCGACTGTGGGAAAAAGAAAAACGTTTCATGGAGTAGCTCTGATTGGAATAGAAACCACTAATTAAAAGGAAATGATAGAGGGGACCAGGACTCCCACAGTGAAGGCTAACAAATGACAAGATTTCAAGTCAGCAACTTTGCAGCCAACCCTGAGAAGCAGTGGGTGCAAATCTAGCCGACACATCTCAAAAAGAAAAAAAAATATATAAAGACAGGTGGAGCACTGGGGGAGGAAGGAACTTCGGTGAAAATGTTGAGATTGCCACACACACACACAAAAATACAGAAATAATAAAAAAGACTTTACAGGAAAGGTCACTGGCAAGCAGGATCCGTATAGGCTTGAATTCTGAGCCCTATCCAAGAAAATGCAATTCCGTGGTGAGAAAAGGCTTTACACACAGAGAAGAAAAATGAAATGCAGAGACCAGCTCGCTCAATTGTAGTAACTGCAAAAGGGACCTTGGAGTCCTAGTGAACAATCGTTTAAATATGAATTAGCAGCGTGCGGGGGCAGCCAAAAAGACCAACACAGTCCTAAGCTGCAGAGGGATAGTTTTAAGATCACGAGAAGTGATAATGCCACTTTATATTACACCGGTGTGAAACTACACTTGGGAGTATTGCATCCAGTTCTGGTCACCACGATACAAGAAATTCTCAGACCCTAAAAAAAGTGCTAGAAGAGAGCAACAAAGATTATTTGGAGGTTGAGCGATGAACCATTATCGGAATTGGGAATGTCTAGTTAAAAGAAGAGGTCTCTGTTTGACAGGATAACAGCGTTCCAATATTTGAGGGGCTGCCACAAAGAAGAGGGGTGGGTTACTTTATTCCCCAAAGCCCCTGAAGGTGGAGCAACAGATGGAAACTAATGAAGGAGAGAAGCAATCTAAAAATAAGGAGGAATTTCCTTGACTGTGAGAACAATTAACCAGTTTGCCTCCAGGAGTTGTGGAGCTCCATCACTTTAGGCTTCTTAAAAATTTTTACAACTATTTGTCTGATATGGTATAGGGTTTCCTGCTTGAGGTGGTTGGACTAGAAGACCTCCAAGGTCCCATCCATCTGTTATTTTGAGATGTCCCCCCCCCCCCCAGCCTCCTCCCCCCCCCACTTCTTGGTGGAAAGTGCAGCAATAACCACAAGTAGACAAAACAGGTGTAGTGGTGTTAAGCATTACCACAGTTTCTTTTATTTTGGCATGGAAGTAAAATCCATTTCTACCATACAAAAACACGCGTTAAGGACATAAATGGTGGCACCAGAGAACTTGTGAGAGAAGTTGAAATCAAGTCCTGAACAGGGGATCGTGTCCAAGAAGCGATTCCGAGGCTACAGAGGTTCTCCGATCATAGGGTACAACTAACAACCCCGGATGGGGGCTGCGACGCAAACTCTTCATCAAAAATATTGGGCGGCAAGCGCAATAGACAGGCAACGAGTGTTTTAACAGCGGCAGTCTTTAGGCACCGGGTTTCCGAAACTCACGGAAAATCTCCCACAAAGGCCTGGAAGGGAGGTTGATTAGGCCCTGAAATGCTTCCAGAAGCTTCCAGGAAATCACACACACACATATATATGTATATATATATGTATATACGTATATATATATATTTATATATAAATACACACATGCATAACAAAAGGCATGAAATATTGCTTGCTCCGCTGGAGACCAAGGATGAAGATAATTCCTGGTTTTAACACCCCTTGCAAACAGGAGGGGTGGCCTGTTAAGAGAAATTTGAAGGATGGACATGACGCAAAGTAGGGTCATTTCGTTGGGTCAACTTACGACCACAATTGGGAGCAGAGTTTTAACTGCTAAGCAAGGCAGTTGTTAAGCGAGCCGTGCTCAATTTTGCAACCTTCTTTTCCAGCGTTGTTAACAGAACCAATTCAGTTGTTAAGTGAACCAGGCAGTCATTAAGTGAATCCGGCTTCCCCTGTTGACTTGGCTTATCAAAAGCCAGCTGGGAGGGTCACAAGTGGCGATCACGTGACTTCTGGATGCTGCAACTGTCATACATACATGCCAGTTGCCAAGTGCCTGAATTTTGATATCATATGACCATGAGGTTTGTGCAGTGGTTAAGTGCGAGGACCAGCCGTAAGTTATTTTTTTCAGCGCTGTTGTAACTTTGAATGGTGACTAAATGGATGGTTGTAAATTGAAGAAGTTTTAAAAAAACTGAAAAGGAGTCACAGACTGAAGTGCTCAACTATAAATTGGCAAAGATGCTTGGTTCACCATCAGCAAGATTACATATGTATGTATGTATGTATGTATGTATGTATGTATGTATGTATATATATATTGTCTATAATTTTGCAGTTCTCAAAAATGGGTCAATTTTCCAGGTATAGGTAGTCCTCGACTCACGACCTCAACTGACCCCAAAATTTATGTTGCAAAGTGAGACGTTTGTTAAGTGAGATTTGCCCCATTTTACAACTCTTCTTGCCACATTTGTTAAGTGAGCCATTTCAGTTGTTAGCACAATTAAGTGAAACTGGCTTGCCAGAAGGTCACAAAAGCGGATCCCAGTACCCCAGAGACAACTGCAACTGTCACAAATGTGAGTCAGTTGTCAAGCATCCGGATGCAAATCAGGTGAACATGATTCACATGAGTATTATGCAACAATCTTAAGTGTGAAAAACCATAAATCCTTTTTTTTTTCAGTGCCTGTAAATTTGAATGGTCACTAAACGAACTGTTGTAAGTTGAGGACTACCTGTATTAATACTTTGCCAAGGCTGGGGTCTTCCAAGAGACCCCCCCCCCCAAATCTTGTTAACCTGGGGAATGCTGCCAGAAACTCCAGTTCGGTTGTGTGGCAAGGCCATTTTGTGGCTTTCGCAGAGCGTAGCCTGATTCCTGAGCAGCCTCACAACACGGGTTCTTCAAAACAGACGTGTGAAATGAAGCTGCATTCAGGTCCCCGGAACTGGTAGGAGCCCACCTAAGAAATGAAACAACGGCAAGTTGGAAGTGTGTGTGTGTGTGTGTGTGTATTTGTGTGTTTCCTCTACTTGCAACAGAAGCCGCAAAAAGCGTTAGCGCAAGGCACTTGCAGGTAAAAATCTTCTCCACTTTCAAAATTAAATGTCCAGCGAGAAGAAAAAGTCCAAAGAATTGCACAGGACGTGATCTGTAGCTTTTTCAGGCAAACATGGTCAGTTGTATCCACTGTGGAAAAAAAAAACACAGAGAAATATTTTTTCCCCCAACAATGCCACACCAGAAAAAAACCACACAGTTCCTCCTTTCTTTAAAAAAAATAAATAAATCTTTGAGAGCATTCTGGATTTCATTCTTTGGCCCAATAGGCTCGTCAAAGAGGTTACAAATATCCAAGCCTCTGGGGTTAGAAGCGGAAAGCCACAGCACAAGAGGAAAAGGGCTGGGGAGGGAAGAGGAAAACAAAGGATAAAGGGACCAAAAAGAGGAAAGTGGGCCCGGCGTGCAAATTTGCTCCCAACATTGCAAGACCCCTGCAAGTGTGTATTTGCACACCCCATTGCCAAATCTATTCTCAGTGCACTCAATACAGTTATTTGCTTCTATTCAGTGTTTCCTAGACAGCATGCTATGAAGTGAACTCCAACTCCCAGAATTCCCCAGCCAGCAGGGTTGGAAACAGTAGTCCAGCCCACCTGGACACCCCGATGTGGTTACCTTAATCAAGTCGAATGTGACAATCCCATCTTTGTCCGTGTCCAGGGCTTGGAAAAATCCTGGAAAGGAAAGAGAGGTAAGGATTAATCAATCAATACATTCATAAATCATTAGATGACTTTTGACTCTTGACCAATGTCTCTTTTCTTTTACGTACACTGAGAGCATTTGCACCAAGACA